TTTTCATTCAACAAATATTTTCTTAATGCCTATTCTGTGCCATTCTTGGTTTCCAATGCCTATGCACTTTTCAATAAACTACACTACTGTGTAGTTCAAATATAGTAGTTTGAAACACTACTGTGTTTCAAAATCAAGTATGAGTAAAAAGCTTTGCTAAAGTCTACACGTCAAATAATTTTAAATTCTCAACTTTCTTATTAGAGCAGTCTACTGTGATAATGATAGTTCACGTTGTCTTTGTTTAAAAAGAAAGCTCACGTGCTTTCTGGTCCATATTTTTTTCGCTCTTATGTACGTATACTCCTTTTTTAAAAGTATGATCTTGGTAATGTTATTGTTATTTGTTTTATTTGATTAAAAGTACCAATATAAAATGTTTGTCTTGGTTGAGTACATTTAAATTTTATCATGTGTCTTCAGAATAGTTTATTATTATTTTTAATTGTTTTATTTCTTCACTTGCTTCTGAAACTACTCAAATGGTACAGCTTATCTCATATTGTGGGGAGAGATGTTTGCCTATCTATTGCTTATATTTGTAATGATCATGGGCTTTATTTCATTGCTCAAAGTTTTACTCTTGAAGTTTAGGTCCTAGAAACTCTGAACCTTTAAGCTTCTAACCTACTCACTTTTATATATACATATTTTCTCATTTACCAATTTTTTTTGCTATTTATTAGAAAGTAGCTGTTTAAAACAAATTTTCTCTCCTTATTTTTCAGGTAGTCTTTCATGGAATGTTGTTTGCTTTCATTTATCTGGCTTTACAGAAACGTCAAGTACTTTCTGAAGGAAAGGGTGAACCTCTTTTTTCAAACAAAATTTCAAATGTTCTATTGTTTATTTCAGTGGTTTCTTTCTTGGTAAGTTTCAAAATGTAATCTTCTAAATTTCCAACATCCTAAATGGTATAGAAAATTAGATAAAAATTTAATCAATTATTTTTTTAAATAATTTATTTTTCATTTACAGTTGACATACAATTTATTAGTTTCAGGTGTACAGCATAGTGGTTAAACATTTATATAACTTACTGAATGATAAATCTAATATCCACCTGTTGACACCATATATAGTTATTACAATACTGATGACTATATTTCCTATGCTATACTTTATATCCTCATGACTATTTTGTAACTACCAATTTATACTTCTTAATCCCTTCCCCTTTTACACCCATCTAACCGATTCCCCTCTCATCTGGTAGCCATCAAAATATTCTCTGTATCTGTGAGTTTGTTTCTGTTTTTCATGTTCATTTATTTTATTTTTTAGATTCCATATATAAGTGAAATCATATGGTATTTGTCTTTCTCTGTCTGACTTGTTTCATTCAGCATAATATCCCTCTAGGTCCATCCATGTTGTTGCAGATGGCAAGATTTCATTCTTTTTTATGGCTCAGTAATATTCCATTGTAATATATACCAACTCTTCTTTATCCATTTGTCCATTCATGGACGCTTAGGTTGCTTCCATATCTTGGCTGTTGTAAAGAATGCTATAGCGAACATGTGAATGCATATATCTTTTAGAATTAGCATATCGGGTTTCTAAGGATGAATACCCAGAAGTGGATGGAATTACTGGGTCCTTCTTTGTCTCCTGTTACAGCTTTTGTTTTAAAGTCTATTTTGTCTAGTATAAGTATTGCTACCCCAGCTTTTTTTTTTTTTTTCATTTCTATTTTCATGAAATATTTTTCCATCCTTTTACTTTCAGTCTGTGTATATCTTTCAATCTGAAGTGATCTCTTGTAAGAAGCATATATAAGGGTTTTGTTTTCTTATCCATTCAGCACCCCATGTCTTTTGATTGGATCATTTCATTCATTTACATTTAAAGTAGTTGTTGATAGATATATAGTTATCACCATTTTTCTTCTTCTTAAGGAAGTCCCTTTAACATTTCTCATAATGCTGGTTCGGGGTTGATGAACTCCTTTAGCTTTTTCTTATCCAGGAAGCTGTTTATCCATCCTTTGATTCTTAAATAGCTTTGCTGGCTAGAGTAATCTTAGTTGTAGGTCCTTAATTTTCATCATTTTGAATACTTCTTGCTAGTCTCTTTCCAGCCTACAAAATTTCTGTTGAGAAATCAACTGACAGTCTTATGGGAGCGTATAGGTAACTGTTTTTTTTCTTGATGCTTTTAAGATTATCTCTTTGTTTTCAACCTTTGGCATTTTAATTATGCTGTGTCTTGGTATGGGCCTGTTTGGGTTCATCTTGTTTGAGACTCTCTGAGCTTCCTGGGCTTGTATGTCTGTTTCATGCACCAGGTTAGGGAAGTTTTGATCATTATTTCTTCAGATGGTTTCTCAATTTCTTGCTCTTTCTCTTCTCTTTCTGGTACCCCTATGATGCGAATGTTGGTATGCTTGATGTTGTCCCAGAGGCGCCTTAAACTATCCTTACTTTTTTGAATTCTTTTTTCTTATTGCTGTTCTGATTGGATGTTTTCTGCTACTTTATCTTCCAAATCGCTGATTCAGTCCTCTGCTTCATCTAATCTACTGTCGATTTCCTCTAATGTATTCTTCACTTCAGTTAATGTATTCTTTATTTCTGACTGGTTCTTTTTTATGTTTTCTATCTCTATTTTTTATTTTCTATCTCTTTGTTGAAGTTATCACTGAAATTATTGAGAATCCTCATAACCACTGTTTTGAACTCTGCATCTGGTAGATTGCTTAATTTTGTTTAGTTCTTTTTCTGGAGCTTTATTCTGTTCTTTCATTTGGGACATGTTTCTTTGTCTCCTCATTTTGGCTGTCTCTCTGTGTTTGTTTCTTTATATTAGGTAGGGCTGCTATGTCTCCCAGTCTTGGTAGAGTGGCCTTATCTAGCAGGTGTCCTATGGAGCCCAGTGGCACAGTATCCGTGGTCACCTAGGCTGGGTGCTCCAGGTGTGTTCCTTATGTGGGTTGCGCATGTCCTCCTATTGTAGTTGAGTCTTCATTGATATTAGTACATCAGTGGGATTGACCAGGTTGATTGGTTGTGAGGACTGGCTGTGACTATAGTGGAGGAGCTGTTGTGCAGAGTCTGACCCTATGGAGTAAAGATTAGCTTTCACAGTGCTCTGGTGCCTGCCAAGTCTTCCTTTTGGATGTGTTTGTTTGTAGAGGATATTGGGTGGTGCTCTGGTGTGATCCATAACCAGCCACTGGTATTGTTTGTTCTGGGTCCTCCTGGGAGGGCCTTTGTTGCTGGCCAAGGTCAGCCATTGCCTGTATGTACCCTGCCCGGGGCCACTTGATATGAGCTACAAAGTGATTTGCAGATGGTTGCCTCTTGTGCTGGGCTTGGAGATGCCTGGGAGAAGGTAACTGTGAACCTAGGCCAGCTGCCACTAACCAGGCTTGGGGCTGCTTAGCAATTGGTATGGGGCATGCTGAGGGTAGATGCTGCTTGTTTGGGTTTATGAACCTTTGTAAAAATTTAGGAAAATCCGCAGCATGAGCCAAGACAAGACAAGAGAAGCCACTTGGGTGGGCCCACAAGTTGGAATGTGGTCTCAAGGAATCACCAGAGCCAGGAGAACAGTATTAGCCAGGTTGATGGAGACTCAGATATGGTGACAGCCTACATCTGCATGCTGAGATGGGGGAGGACTCAACATAGAAACAGAGCATTCTGCCACCACTTCAGTCTGGAAAAAAGCTGCCCCTCCAGCCCTTAAGCCCTGAAGCCAGACAATTCATTTCCTCCCAATATGTCCCTGGGGCCTTTAGAGCTGCTGCCCCAGTGCTGGAGCTCTGAGCAAGTGGGTCCATTAGCGAATAAACGCAACTCAGGCCCTTTAAGAGGAGCACCGGGGACTCTAGCCACCCTCCATCTCACTCAACCACAATCTCTGCTAGTTTTCACAACTAGAAGTTGAAGGGATTTCTCTTCCTGGTACTAGAACCCTGGGCTGGGGAGCCTGGTGTGGGGCAGGGACCCCTCACTCCTCAGGAGGGACCTTTGCAGCTGAGATATCTCTCCCGATTTTTAACTGCTACACTTGGATGTGGGGCCAGCCTATTCTGTATCTCAGCCTCTCCTCCTAGTCTCAAGGTGGCTTCTTCTGTATGGCTCCAGTTATAGGATTTCTATTCAACTATACTTCATTGCAGTTCTCAATCATCGTTATTCTGTAGTTTATTTTTAATTTTGATGTGGTCATGGGAGGACGCGAGCACAGTATTTACCTACTCTACCATCTTGACCATGTATTATTTTTAATAAATAAAATCTTTACTTTAAAATTTTTTTTAATTTTCTAATTCAACATAAATTCTGAAATGAATACACATATAAGTTAAATATGAAGAATAACTGGAAGCTCTGTGAAATAGGAATTTTAAAAGTTGTAATAAATTTGAAAAAAAATATAAGGTGTTTGACATGAAGAGCCATCCCTGTTTTATGATTACTGTTTCCATAAAAGCATAGACCTATCCCCCCTCACTGCTTTCTTATGTTTTGGGCAGTTGAGACACTGAAACAAGTGATGAGCCAACCTTTGGGAGATTTTTACTGGAGCTTTTTAAATATCGTAATGAAGTATAACATAAATAAGTAAAACTTGAAAAATGTACGAGAATGTACCACTTTAAGGCTTAACTGTTTTTGTGAACTGATTCATATATTTTTCATTTTAGACCTATTCCATCTGGGCTAGCAGTTGTAAAAACAAAGCAGAGTGCAATGAACTCCACCCATCTGTTTCTGTGGTACAGGTAATTATCTTAATTTAGAGAAATTTTTTCTTTTTAATTCTTGATGGAATACAGTCTCTAGTGGCAGAGAAATTTTAAATCAAACTATAAAATGTAAGTATATTACTTAATCTTTCTAAGCCCTACTTTCCTCTCCTGTAACAGGGATATTAAAATCTTTTGTAAAAGTTGTTATATTAAATGTATGGAAATGATCAGTATTTGTCACTTACTTAGAAAATGTTAATTTTACATCTCATAATTGCTTTTCTTCATTTATTCAAATTTCTTCATTTAATTAATCATAGTTATTAACGAACAGCTATGTGTTAATTACCATGGTACGTGTAAAGATGTTCAGAGTTAAACAAGATAGAACTCCTGCCCTCATGGAACTTACAGTCCAGTAGAGATATGAAACAATAAACATTCATTCATTTAATAAATTCATTAAATTTTCATATTCATTTAATGACTGTTTGATACCTAGTATGTACTAGATAATATGCTGAAGGATACAGTGTTAACCAAGTCAGTCATAGTTCCTACCCTATCGAGCCTACATTCTTCTATTATGAATAATAATCATATAATTACTGTGTAATTATTAAAAGAAGTACATGATGCAATCAGAGAATGTCAAGAGTGGATATGATCTAGTTGGGAGTTGGAGTAAGAGTGGTCAGGAGTCAGGGATGACTTCTCTGAGAAAATTAAGCTGAGAATGGAAGGACGAAGGTACAGCAGACAGCAAGAATTTAAGCCCTGTGATGGAAAGGAGCATTAGCACACTCAAAAAACTTATAGAAGGCCATTGGGACTGGAGTTCAGGGACCCAGAGTCTAGAGAAATGTGTGGTAGTGACTGGAAGGTAGGCAGAAGCTAGAGGCAACTCAAATCAAATTTACATTTTGCAGAGATACCTCTGGTTGCAGTTAATTATAGTACATTGTGATTTGTGTAGTGGTGGTTAAGTACAGACCACTTTGGAAACACATGGAACTTCTTCCTAACCCATCTCGATATCACAGCAGGGTCGCTGGAAAAACTAGTGTCTAAGCTGAGGCCCGAAAAATGAGTATCCCAGCAAAGAGGAGCAGGGAGAATTGCTGGAGGATCTTCTCTGAGGTCTTAAATTTTCTTCAATGCAGGGCTATTTTATTACTCTTAAACCTCTATATAATCAGCACCAAGCACATGATTGACTCTGCAAACACAATTGATGATGAAATTTTAAGTATTATACTGTATTCATATAATGTTTTTTTATGACTTCTGCAGACAACACTAGTGCTTATCAATGACTCTTTGCATATTACATCTGATATCATTCCTGTAGCTCACGTCGTGGAAGGGAGGTGTCACCACTCTTCGTGTCCCAGTACAGAACAATGTGAGGAGAGCTAAGGGAGAAAATGGCTACACATAGAATAACACTAACATAAGCACTCCTGAGCCTTATCACATTCCTTCCCAATCACTACCCTCTATGTACTCATATTTCCTTAGTTAATTTTTTTGTGAGGGCCTCAGCTGCTCCATTGCACAGTGAAAGAATGGGCTTGGAGCACAAATTGAAGCAAACCCTTATTTTATTGGCTTGCTATTTTTTTCAAGGGCACTTTTCCCCCATTGTAAAAGTCAGAGAGTATTCAGGTAGCCCCAGATGTTACAGGTTACATCCTTATTTCCTTTCATTCGTATTTTCAGATGCCAACAGAAGATGTAGGTGTAGGTGTGTGTGTGGGTATGTGTGTGTGTATAGGACATTGTGATTATATAAATACATGTAATTATATACATGCATATAATTATATTAAAGTTGTATATATGATTATATATCCTTAGAGTACTTATCTGAGGGGGCTTCTTTAAGATTTTAAACATATACAAGATTCTTAGTGTTCTGTTAGAAAGTATTTTCCCAGCCTGACCCAGCAGAAGGCTTATGCACCAGTTCTTGAATTCTTACCTTTTTGTTTGCCTATCAATTTGGATAGGAATTTCCAGAAGGGCTTAGCTGTAGAATAACATCCAGATGACTAACCATAAATAATGTATATCGAGTGCTTAGCTTAGTACCCAGCAAGTTATAAATGGTGAACAAATTTTAAGCATTATTATTTCTATATCAAGCTAATGACTCCCCAGAGTTGTCTTCTCCATGGTTATTATTTCTTTGATTTTCTGCTGCCCTCATCCCATTGCTTCCTTAGTAGATGACAAAACAAAACTTGAATATGCTAAAGAAATAAATACACATTAGGAATTGGTAGATTGCAGATAGAAAGAAGGAACATGATGTGTTTAAGACTGTTCCCAGATTTTTGATGCATCTTCCTAGCATTTTTTTCCCTAGCATTTTACAATTTAAGCAATATTTTAATTATAATAACTCATTAAATGGTTTCATGTTTAAGGGTTTTATTTAGGTCTACCTTTATGATTTTTGCCATTTATGTATACCACCCATAATATTAATTACCTAATATGTTTCTTTAAATGACTTACAACAAATGCTGTAATAAGTACCTCATATTTGTTTTCTCATTTAACTTTCATATCAACCTTTCAAAGTAAATTTTAATCCCATTTGTATAGGTGAGGAAAAAGACTTAAAGGAGTAAAGTACTTCTCTGTGAGTCCCAGAACTAATAAAAGGCGAAGGCTAAATTCAAACTTGAGTCTCTGGTACTGTTGCCCATGAGTGAGGATCACTCAACTTGATTATACCTGAATAGTTCACGTTGGTTTTTTTTTCCCGATGGTAAAGTTCTCCACATAGTTCTTATTTCCTCATTTTTTGTGCATCTCAAAGACCTCTACCTTGATCCTTTGACAAAATGCCTACAGTGATCAACACCGAATATGGGATTTTCTCTGAAGCGTAAATAAAATTTCAATTCTTTTATGAAAGAAAGTTTTGAAAGGTATTTGTGAAAGTGGAAACATTTATTTATTTGTTTGTTTGTTTGTTTGTTTGTTTGTTTGTTTGTTTTTGACAGTTTCTTGCTTCTTTATGAGGAAAATGGATTCTCATGAGAGTTCTTTTCTTGATAAACTAGTTACTGGATGTGTCACTGAATTGAAGGTTTAGAAAATTCAAGATTGTTTTACCTGGTGGAAAAGTATGGAGGAGAGAATGGTGAAGTCCAGGAGCCCAAAAGTTGGAGATTCTTTTGGGGGAGAATAGATCCAGAGGGAAAATATATTACATGTGAATGCAGTTTAAGACATCAGAGCAAGCCTGAGGGCATCTTAAAAGTCATGCCATTTCCCTTATTTACATGACTGTCAGTGGAAGAGAGATTTTGAAGAGAGTAAAGGAGGCTTGGGGCCGGCTGTCAACCACACAGACACTTTTTGGAAGAAGGAAAATTGTATTATGAGATTTTACAAATTTTGCCACATAAATGTGATACCATCTCTTTCTACACAAAGGGCCTCAAAGTGGATTTTATATTTTTTCCAATAAACATAAAATAAAACTATTCAGCCCTGTATCACCTAATATCTACACTGATATGCAGTATATAGACCACATGTTGAGAAATCCAATTTGGATAGACTCCAGAACAAAAATAACTTATTAATACTTTATCTATTGGAAAAAACATTGTGTATGTATCAAATTCCAGAACATAATAAAGTTATGACTTGAAGGAAAACAAAATGCTTTTAATAAATAGATTGTTAATATTTGCCTTTTTGGTTTTTCTTTAGATTTTAGCCTTTATCCTAATAAGGAATATTCCTGGATATGCTCGTTCCATTTACAGTTCATTTTTTGCTTGGTTTGGAAAAATTTCATTAGAGGTTGGTATATTAATATTTTGCTCTATCTTACATAGCGAAGTGTTATATGTGTGCATGCATGTATGTGTGTATGAGTATGTATACGTGTGTGTGTGTGTAAATGTATATAATTTAACATGCATTTTTTTTAACCAATGCTCTGTTATTATGAAATCGTAGGGAAAAAACTCTACTTTCAAAAACAGTAAAGTATTGTAGAATATTTTTAAAGCCTTATTTAGATGACTGGACATAGACGACTTTCACAGTATTCTTTATATTGTCTTAAGCTTTCAAGCACAACCAAGATGCTGAGATCAGGAGAGAAAGAAATGAAATAAATATAAGTGAAATTTATAAGTACATATAAATGAAATCAAGCTGAGGGATTTTGATTTATTGTTCATCTCCATAATTAATATTACTAGAATTTAAGTTATTGATGCTTAGCAAAATGAAATTCACCCTATGATTAGAAATTTGGGGGAAAAATTTAAAACATTACATTGTGCATGTAATACCTAATTTGAAGTTATCTACAAAATCAATTTAAAGTAGACTTTGAAATACATTCTGAGTATTCTGAGCTTTATTTGAAATAGAATATTTTAAAACAGTAGAATTCAAATTCTAATCAAAAGATATATTTTAGAGCATAACATTTATTTAAAAGATGCATTTTAGAGTATAAGATTTTTTTAAGTTGTCTTTAAAATAGATTTTGAGTTCTTGAATAAATGTTCCATTATTTTTTAAGTCTCGTCAATAAGAGCAATTGTATATCAAGCCATTCAGTAGACAAAAGAATATTTTGCCAGTCTCTTAATATTTGAAGCATGAGAGGTTTTATCTACTTTAATTGAATGAATTTAATATTTAGCATTTCCATTAAGTATATAGAAGTGTCTTAGTCCTCATATTTGTTGAAGTAGCTTAAGCATATTTCTACTCTGATATTTTGAAGCAATGTGATGAAAGAACCACGTTTGTAATCGTAATCAAAAGAACTGGTTAAGGTGTTTACTGTGTATACTCATGTAGAACTTGAAATACACTTTAGAAACCTGTGAATGTAGTTGAAGACATTCGTCTGGCCATGCATAGCAAACAAGAGGACGTCTTAAACACCATGCCATTTCCTATTCATATACATTCACACAAAAATATATTAAAAAATATAAACATTTGTATACACATAAGTACACAGGTAGTACACACATGAGTATACTACACAGACGTGCACACGTGCATACACACAGTCATTCTTTAGGGTCTGAATACTGGAGTCTAGATACCATTCTGTCAGCTGTCTTCTATGTCATGCAAAGACATGTTTGTGAAGTTAGAAGATTCCTGTGGCTCGTTTCTTGAGGTCTTTGAAGCAGTGCTTCAGCAAATAGGAGTTCCAGAGAATAGACTTTGCAGTAGACTTTTAGGACCAGAAATGAAACAGAATTAAATGGTTTTGGGAAAGCCTGCTAATGTAATTATGCTATCAAATGTTTAAATTAGAAAAAACTGTTTTATATTCATGGGCTCTCTGTACATATCTAACTTCAAATATTTTTCCTCCTAGCTATTTATCTGCCAATATCACATATGGCTGGCGGCAGACACAAGGGGTATCTTGGTGCTCATACCTGGAAACCCTACGCTTAACATCATTGTCAGCACTTTCATATTTGTTTGTGTGGCACATGAAATTTCTCAGATCACGAATGATCTTGCACAGATTATTATTCCTAAAGATAACTCATCTCTGTTGAAAAGGTTGGCATGTATAGCTGCATTTTTTTGTGGACTTCTCATTTTATCATCCATTCAAGATAAATCAAGACATTAAGTTCCTAAGATTCTAAAAAACTTAAACTCTTCAAGCTAACTTTACGTCTGCCAAGAGGAGAAAAACATCTATCTGGAGATATAACTGTATATGTAAATAAACATTTGTGGTGAGAGGACAGCTCAGTGATGTCTGGTGAACACTTGTGGTTGTATATATAGGAAATGTACATATCCGATGTGAAATATTGAAAAGAACTGGTGAAGCAGAGTGCATTGTATGGGATTGCATGTGAAGTCTTTTCTACTGGATCTGTATTTCCATTTATAAATGATTTTAAGTTAACATATGAAGGCAGGGAAATAATTACCTTTCCAGTAAAAAAAAAAAAATAGATAATTTAATGAGCTTAGTGTCACACTGTTTTGATAATTACTAAATTTGTGGTAATAAGATTGTCTACACCTGTATCGTCATGGAACTTCCTATTTCATTGAAAACTTTCTTAAGAATGACTGCAGTATTGTTTTCTTATCATATGTGCAATGATGTGGAATGTTAAACAGTATGCCTTTAATTTATATGTGTTCGTGTTCTGATGTTATATATTTCCTGCCATGATTTTTTTTTCTAACTGTGGTTTTCAGGTATACAAACCTAAATCTTTGTACACTTTGTCTCACCGTTGTTCGAGGCTCCATGACAGGGTTTTGTCATTGTCATATGTTATTGTTGCTTCTTTTTATAAAAAGGCCAAATTTTCTTTCCAATTCAAACATTCACTTGTTTCCTTAAGCTATACCAGTGTAATACCAGTTACCCTGTGGATCCACTTAATCTGTTTTTCCCTGACTGGTTAATTTTTGTACATTATTTCCAATGTTTGGAAAGCTCTTTATAACCATTTCGGTATTTCTTATTACTCCCTCCTATTTTTAAAAAATATTTGTCAGTCTAAACTTGTGCAGTCTAGTGAAGATTCAGGTTGTTAGGAGTGAGATATATATGACCATCAGTAGAATTTGAAGTAAACCGGTGACTTTGAAGTAATCCGGTGACTTTGGGCAATATGTGTTTTTGGTTTGGTTTGGTTTGGTTTTGTTACAAGCTAACTGTTAAAGGTATAAATTTATTTATCTGTTGTACAGATTTGATTATGACTTTTAATGTTTGAAAGATTGCACTTGTTTGCTCTTACTATGTGTGGGGTAAAATATATTTTCTGTTCATGGTATATGAAAATATGGAGTAATTTAAACAGTAAATAAACGTTCTGTGGATGCTTATTTTTGTATTGGCAAAATATCAATTAAACTATATGTGTTCTTTTTTTAAAAAAGCTGGGTCCATTAATGATTGGCTCAAATGTCTACTTAATTTCCTCAGCTTAAATTTAGTTTTTAAAACTCTTTGTATTTAGAGGTAGATCACTCTGATAGTTGAATAAGGAATAATTAAATTATCAGAGCTTTGAAGGATATTCTGCCTTTCTACCCAGGAATTTTAAGCGTTATGGTTTATTAGTAGTCCTACTCGAAGATCTGTAACATTTAACTATTTCTTTAACACTGGATTTATGTGCTAGCGATATCTTCCTATTAATTGAGGAATATTTCTCAGATAGAAATGTGTGTTCTTTCCTTTTCTCTCTTCTGCCCATACTTAATCCTTTGACATTTTCCAGATGGACAATTGTAATGATTCATTGCTCTGCCTCCTAGACTGCAGCTTTATACGTAGAGAATGGTATAGTTATAAATCAAAAACTTGCAAGTACTGTGATCACATTATTCTTATTGGTGTGGCCTGCCAACGAGTAGAGTGCATTTTAATTTAGCTTGTAGGTTTTATCACCTGAGAAAGTTTCTTCCCGATGAAACAATTGAAGAAGAAAAGATGACCAGTATTTCTGGTTTTTGGAAGTACTTATTGTCTCCAATAGTGATACTCAAGTGAATATAAGTTTTCTGTCCTATTTGAACTCAGGCTGAAAACTTAACTGGTAAACTCTGTTTCTTTATCACACACATGCTCTTATTTAATATGCTCCACAGCTTTATTTTATGTATAGTTATATAAAATAGTTAAAACATAATGCATTTGTAATTAAAATACATTCTATTTATATTTGATTTTCTTTTTTTAAATATGTATCATGATTCCATTTTTTTTAATTAGTTTCAAGTATACAGTACATTGCTTAGACATCTATATAGTAAAATGATACCTCCAATTGCTCCCTCCCTCCCCTGACCCTCCACTTAGCCAACGTAGTAATGCTAATTGCATTCCTTATGCCACACTTTCCTTCCCCGAGACCATCCGTCAGCTACTAATTTGTACTTCTTTTAACTTTCACCCCATTCTCTCAACTCCCCATACCCCCTCCCCTCTTTTCTGTCACCAAATTGTCCACTATATTGGGTCTGTTTTTGATTAGTTTGTTCTTTTTATTCCTTAAATTCTGCATATAAGTGAAATCATATAGTGTTTATCTTTCTCTGTCTGACTTAAATACCTTCTAGGTTCATCATAGCAATATCTTCTTCCATTCCCTTCCTATTAATATGTAGGAGTCTTATTTTCTTATCCTTTTAGCCACTCCATCCCTTGGTTGGAGCACTTAATTCTTTTCCCTTTAAGGTACTTATTGATAGGTAGTAGTTGTTACCATTCTTTATTCCTGTTTTTGATACATGTTTTTTCTTCTTAAAGAAGTCCCTCCAACATTTCCTGTAATTCTGGCTTGGTGGTGATAAAATCCTTTATTTTTGTCTGGGAAGCTCTTTATCTGTCCTTCAACTCTAAATGATAGCTTTGCTCAATAAATTATTCTTGGTCGTATATCCTGGGTCTTCATTCTTTCAAAAATTTTTTGCCAAGCTCTACTGTCCTGCATAGTCTCTCTTGAGAAATCAGCTGCCAGTCATATGGGTGTTCCCTTATAGGTAATTATTTGTTTTTCTCTTGCTGCTTTTAAAATTTTTTCTTTGTATTTAACCTTTGGCATTTTAATTATGATGTGTCTTGATGGGGCCTCTTTGGATCCCTGATTTTTGGAATCCTCTGAGCTTCCTGGAGTTTTATGTCCATTTCCTTCACCAGGATAGGGAAGTTTTCCATCATTATTTCTTCAAACATCTGTTCAACATCTTGATTTTCTTCACTTACACTGATCAGACAAATATTTGGAGCCTTAATAGTGTCCCATATTCTCCTTTAATTATTTTTATAGTCTTGGCCTCTTTTTTTCTTGCCATTCTGTTTTAGTGTCCTGATTCCTGTTCTCTAGGTAGGGCATGTGATCCTCTTCTTTATTCACTTTATTTATTCCTTTGTTTATTCCATTTAATATACTTCTCATCTCAGATAATGTGTTCTCCATTTCAAACTGGTTCCCTTTTATAATTTCCACTTCCATTTTTATGCTTCTTATCTCTTTGTTGTTCTCCACATTTCCCAAAAGTTCATTGAGCATCTTTATAACCAGTGTTTTGAACTCTGCATCTATTAGATTACTTGACTCCATTATATCTGGATCTCCGTTCTGTTCTTTCACATTGTTTCTGCTTCTTTGTCTTCCCATTTTGGCTGCCTTTCCGTGTCTGTTTCTATGTACTAAGCAAAGCTCCTAAGTCTTCAGGTCTTATTGTGGATTTGTGACATAGGTGTCCAGTGGCTTAGCCACCTGTCAAGATTCAACAAGCAATCCACAGAAACTGTGCTTATAGTTGCCTCAAAAGGCCACACCAGAAACAGGCCAGCTGCCTCCAGTGCAAGTCTAGGCGCTGCTCAGCAAGGCGCATCTGACTCACTGAGGATACACCTGGATGTGGCTTGGTTGGGGCCACGAGTTGGGGGAGGCGGGATTTCAGGGAATCCTCTGGGTAGGGTGACCTCTGTTATCCAGTTTGATGGCATCATAGCTATGGCAGTGCTGTGTCCACACACTGGGAGTGGGGAGGGCTCAACAGGGAACAATGGATACCGCTGGCACTTCTGTACCGAGAGTCACGCCTAAACTCTCTCTCCGGCAATGTCTCCCTGCTCGCAGCCTAATCCGCACTGGTGCTCAGAGCGAGCAGGTCCATCACAGCGAAAATCTGCTCACGGACGCGGCCCCTTTAAGAGATGTCTGCTTCTGCCGCAGCCTCCATCTCACTCAGCCGCTGGAGACCCGCAGCCCCGCATCCTCGCCCTGTCCTACCTTCTGCCCGTTGCAGGGTGCTTTCTTGGATTTCTCCATAGTTGTATGGCTTATTTATCTAGATCCTAGGCGATTTTTCCTTGCTGCTGCTCCTTGTTTCCGTCACAACTTTGATTTGGTTGCCAGAGGGATGAACAGAGCCTCTATCATCTATGCCATTTTCAAGCATAGTCTATTTGATTTTCTTAATGAGTTTTTATGGATAGGAGGTTATCATGGTAGAAGTTCCATAATGATAACATCTATATATGGCAGATATTTTAATTTTTTTCTGCATATACTCAGATACTGACTAGTTGCATTCGTTCTTTAGAAAAAGATGTTTATCAGAATATTTAGATAGCTAAAATTGAGTTAAAACCACAGAAGTTCTCTAAACTTCGACTTTCTGTAATATAAATCATATTGAGAAATATACCATATGGCCCTAAACGGTACTTGCTTGCCTCAAATCTTCCCCAATTCTTCCCTGTTGCCTTTGCCAAACCTTTCCGTTTTTATGGATAGACAATATAGCATTAAAAATCTAGAGCCTCACATAGAACCATTCATTGTACCTTTGAGCTAGATCCTATTGTTTGCTTTAGGAGCCAATATAATGTTTACACCATACCATTCCTTTGTAAGATAAATTGACCACTTAAAATTTTAAAGATGGGTGAATTTTTTTCTCTACAAATGCTTTATTAATTCAAATATTTTAAGCTTGATAAAATTATCTTTAATGATTAGGATATGTGTTTGTTTATATTTAATTTTTTTTACTAGATTGTCAACCATTAAGGCTAAATAAATAATCCATAGGAACTAAGTCAGAACCTTCATATAATAGATATTCAATAAAAGCCAGTTCGTCAAAGAGTTTGTTTCGTGCAGTTTCTAGGAGAATGCCACTTTCCCTTTAGATTATCCCTCCCCCTTTAGATTTGGACTTTTACCAATTTAGGAAACCTTGGGAGAGCCAAGTTGGAATTTTTATGTTAAACAGTATTAAATCACTGATGTGCCATCATTTGTGACCAAGAAAGCCATGTATTTTAAAAAAAAGAAAGAGATTATGCTTTTAGTGGAAGTCAAAAATATTCTGTGTTCAACAGGCAAAATGTGACTGTGTCAAAAACTACTTTAAAAAGCGTTATGAAATAAACACTAAAAACAGTTACCAGTGCATAGAAATGTATATGAGTGCCCACATAAGTAAAATCATTAATGAATTAAAATCCTGAAATGTCAACAGAACTTGATTTTAAATGAAAATTTTAAAAGTGATAATGTGAAATTCAGATATAAAGTGAAAAAATTTTGATAAAGACATTTAACAAATGGTTGGTTTTGAAGTATATTCACTGAATGTAGCAGAAATTACATGCCAAAGAAATAAGCAGAAATTACATGCCAAAAGGAAATAAGCTTTTGAAAATAGAAGGATAACAGAAAACTATTATCTCCCTCAGTATCGAGATATGGCTAAGTTATGGAAAAAGTTTATGAAAAGTGTAATTTGTGGGAGCCTAAATATCAACAACATTACCTACTTAATTAAATTTATTTGTGCTTTCAGTGAGAATTCTAATGTAACCAAGTGACTCAGAAACTTACCTATGTCAAGTTCATTATGAGGAAATGATGTATTGATTTATTGGATTGAGAAAATCTTAAAGTTTGATATAGGCTAATAATATTCATAAAGTTACAAGTAAGTATGATAATAGAAAGTACTACTGTGCTGATCTTCAGACTTACAAAATAAAACTGAAATTAGTGATTTTTCACAGGGAGGTGGAACTTAAGTCCACATATTATTTCATTCTCTGGGAATAACTTTAGTGATTCTTAGTGATTAGTGATTTTTCACAGGGAGGTGGAACTTAAGTTCCACATATTATTTCATTCTCTGGGAATAACTTTATGCTAAAACCTTAAAAATAAGCATTCTGGCTATGGCCATTGATAGATACTGAATGTGTTTCATGGCTTGTGTTATGGACAGGTCAGTGCTTTGCTTGATAAATTGGATGTACCACATGGGAGCCCTGCTGTATGATAGGAGATTAGGTGGCATTGCACCTAGAAATTTTTGAAACTATTGAGAGATTAAATTTACATCATTCAAGAGAAAATGACCTTGTTAG